CCTCATCTTGGAGGCAAACCCGATGCTGTGCGAGGACAGATCCACAAAGGGACCCACAACGGGCCCCATAGGAGGAACGACCTCCAGGGACACAGCCTCGCTGTAGCCGGTAAAATCGGGTAAACCACTGCCTGAAAACACAGACTCTGAGGATGCCCTTCGATCGGCGGGGGGGGGGGGGGGACCAAAAAATATTGGTACCTCCACCATCGGGTCTCCTACTCGACGTCTCAGTACACTAAGTACCAGTAGCTGAACGTGAGGACTTTCCACTCATGCCAACACGCAACTCACTTTAACCGATTTTTACTGGACACGCGACATTGCTGTGAAAATACGAGTGACACGGTAAGTCTCAGCGATATTGCATGGCTCTGAAAAACATCCCAGGCCTCAGAACTCCAGTGAAAAACACACTCCTTCAAGGCAAAAAACCTGAACCCTGCACGCAGCTGCTATGCTGGTAAATTCTGATTATAACCACTGCACAGTCGCCTCGAAAAGCGAGGAGACAAAACCGGCAGTGAGCCTCAGGTGCTGTCACAATCTGATTAAAATCTGATGTAGTGTACGGGCTTTAATTATTTTGGCTATAAACTTATTTTAATTTTATTTTTTATTACTTTTGTTATTAATGCCTTTTTATTTTATTATTATTTTACTTTGATTTTGATTTTGTGTTTTTTTTTAATTCCGCCCTACATACATCTGTCCCGATGCCTATGTAACGAGATTTCAACGAGACCCACTATCGATGATTTTAGTCAACGAATCACAGACCTCCTTCTACAGCACACATGATGACGTCACGGCCAGAGTCAGGTGGCAAACACACTCAAATAAAATGGCGGATTATACCGATGTTAGACTGGCGCAGTTGAGGAGATTAATTTGCTTTTGTAGTTTAAATAAAATTTAAAAAATCACGAAATGGAGGTGTTAGCGCGAAATCACCCCGACTGGTTTATTCTGCAGGAAATTCACTGCTATTAAATATTCATGAATTGCACGTATTATAATGAGGTGGGTGCGGAAATACGTGCATAATGAGGTCAACATGGTAAAGGTCACACTGCAGACCCAACATTGCGGCACGTTAAAATTCGAGTTTGTCGTAGTCGTCGTTTCTAATTCATCACAATGTGTAAAAAATAACTCGTACTAGTTGTAGAATAAAAAAAATCGGCTGCTACAATCATAGGTCAGTTGAAGAGACGTTGTGATTGGCCTAAATGATTGTCAATTAAAACACTCATTATTATAATTACCCGTTGACAAATCTACGGGTTCCTGCAGTGTCGATAGAGGGCCATGCAGAATATACCAGTCGGTGTGATTTCGCAGTTACAGGTGATTTCGCCTCCATTTCGCGATTTTTTTTTATTTTATTTAAACTACAAAAAGAAATTAATCACCCCGACTGCGCCAGTCTATACCGACGTTAGCGACCGAGAAAAACACGGCTTTTCGGTAAGTTTATCATTGTCTTTTTCCAGTCGCTTGCCCTGGAGACGGGTGATGTTCTGTTGACGATCGAGCCAACATCGTCTACGGTATTGAAGCCGTAGCTGTAAATATTCATCAAATTGTATCAACATTTTGTACATTATTCAATAACTCTTTATTAAAGTAATTGAGCTGATTTGGACTGGAATAAAATATTTTTTATTTGGAACACATCACAATAGTATTGATCAGGAAATATTTGTTTGCTCCAATTTTCTGCGATGATGCCTTGGGCCGGTGACCGTTATACAATTTAAAATCCGTTTGCATTGTTTACTATAGCTGTTTACAGTGTTCTAATCATTACGATTTACTTATTTTTTTGCTTCCATTCTAAATAATTATGCTCAGTGCTTGATGTAAAATTGAAGCGATGACTGAATGAATGAACCTTGGCTGACGAAGATGTATCTGGAAGTGTACACATTTGTTGGAAGTGAGAAAAATATTCAATGTAATGACAAAAATTGTAAAATGCTGTGGAATTTCTTTTGTAAATAAAAATATACTAGCAATTTTCTATAAATGGTTTATTCAAGTGGGCAAAATATAATGTACAGAAAGCTTGCCCGTATACACTGAAAAGTAAGCAACTGACAGCCTGTATAAAAGGGGGGCTGTGATTGGTTGTTACTTAGGCGAGATTTGAACGGGACTTACATAGGATCAGATGTAGGTAGGGCGGAATTAAAAAAAATCACCAAATCAAAATCAAAGTAAAATAATAAAATAAAAAATATAATAAAAAATTAAATTAAAATAAGTTTATAGCCAAAATAATTAAAGCCTGTACACTACATCAGATTTTAATCAGATTGGTGCTGTCATTACATCTATCCATTTCTAAATACAATGATAAAGCATAAAATGAACACGACATGCATGAGGGAAGCGAAATACAGTTGGAAAAGGTGACGCAATGAAACCAACAAGTGATTAAGTTACGTCGCTGGGTTTAGTTACTTTGTTGTGAACAATTCTACACACAAAGGGGAAATGACACAAGTGAAAATGACACAGAAAACATCTCAATGTCGATGTTGATGTTGGTTGCTGCGGCGGCGGTAACAACCCAAACCAGAAGCCCGAACAAAAAAAAGCAAGCGATCCAGGCAGAGCTCGCTAGACTTCATCTCCACTCGAGGCAGAGAAAAAAACAGAGTGATTATCCAGCCGTAATGGCGCCGCCATATGGAGTCGGTCACATGGTTCGTGATGTAAGGGCAAAGAATCTTGGGGTCATGGGGCTTCCCCTGACCTAGATTCTATCTCTCCGTCATTGGCAGAATCACTGATTAATGCCTACAGTTCAAAATAGTCATTTTGACTGACCAGAGTCTATGGTGGGTAATTGAACATAGTGAATTCAAACATCTCTCGATCATCGATGTCTGAATTAAGTCATGCATTGGCCAATAAATCAAACTGATGTGATGTATTGGTGATACAGTGAGTACAGTATGTGTATCTCAACATGTACTTCGTGTTGTGTCAAAGCAACTCAAAAGTCAATGCTATCTTACCTGTAATATGAACATGATGTAGCCGCTGAATGACTGCTGGTCTAAGACATCCTCCATTGACCGCAATGTTGTACCTATATATGTATTTAATGCTTGCGTCGGTATCAAGCCTAAGGTAGACGCAATTAAGTATCTCAATGTTTTTACGTTGGTTATCTGAAAAATAAATAATTATTATAAATCTTGTTGATTTCTCACATTGGATGTTTCATGGAATGTAAAAGTATCTTTACAAAGCTGTCCTAATTTTTTTTATTTTCTTTATGTTTTGAAAGATTTCCGTGGCTATTTATCATATTTGAGGACTTCACATTATCTTTTTATATATTATTATTATTTTTTATAATTTAATTTATTATTTATATATTTGAAAGTATAAATCTCAGAATTTAGTGGAAAATGACGAACTAAATGAAGAGCTAAACAATTTCACATGCAAATTAGCAAAGTCACTTCTTTTCTGCACTGGTTCCTGCTACTTCTAGCATGGGTTGCTATTCCTTTCTGCTCCATAATAGTATCTCCGGCCCACATAATTCTTTTAAAATCACTATTATGATCAGAAATCTTACAAGGAATTAATTACATGTTCTTGCAATGAAATCTACAATACCACATTACAGTTTTGGAGTCATATTATTTGAAAAGAACAGACAAAATTTAATGAAAATTTAAAAACAAAACAAAAACACAAGTATAATAGATTATGCATGTAATTCAATGTAATAGTTTGGTAGTGAGAAAGATATTATGTGGTAAATGCATGCAAGTACAAATTAAGTCTGTTGATTAGTAAAACGAAAAATAAAATGGAGTTTAATCAGTATTTAAAATTCAGGACACGTGTATACCGCGGTAGATGTGATTTGGTGTGAAAATGAAGCAAAATAAAATCTAAATACATACAAAAAAAATAGATGGATTACACAGACGCCTAGATCATCAGGTCGGCAGCAGAGCAGCTATTCTGTTGTAACCTGTGAGCTATTTCTTGCACTGCTTGCTGCCCTGATCACCAGTGTGATTGTGCTACAACTAATTCTTTAAATACTAAAAACTATTCTTGCTCTGTAGCCGATCAAAGTTTCAGAGAAACAGCAGTGCAAGAATATCTGCTCCCTGTGGCATACATCACATCATATATATTTTAAAGTAATTTATTTCTTATATTGTTTTGAAAGACAGCTCATGAATGTAATGTTTACAGGGTTTATAAACTAAAGTATAGGTTATTGTTATTCACTGTAGTCAACATATAATGACTATTTGCAATTATTATCACAAGTGTTCTTTATTTATTACAGATCAGATTGTTTATTTCACTGAAATTGATTCTCACTCAAATAATAAAAAAACAACCAATGATTCATTTTGTTTTATTTATAAAATGGCTTCTTTCTATCAAAGTGAATATCTATGACAAACAAAACAGATGTCTTTCTAATCTCAGCACATATAGGTTTGAAAAGAGGGGCTAAAATATTGTAAAAAAAAAATTAAAATAAATAAAAAAAACATTGTGTAGGCATGCTAGAATCAGAGCAGATGTTATTGTTTCGTTTTAAATGCTAAATTAAATGTGCAAACAAATAAATGAACATGTTTATATAAAAAAATAGCATGAAATAGTAGAATCAAAAACATATCAAAATTTCAACAGAACTATAATGAGCATGCATGTCTCAGCATGGTATGGTAAGCGTCTAGCCTGGCTAATGGAATGGCAAGCATCTACATATTGTTGCTAGGCTACAGCATATTCCATGCTCAGTAACATTCAGGTTATTGGATGTGAAACTTTCAACCAAACACACCAAACATAGTGACTGGATTCAGAGACTGTAACTGCTCACTGTTTGTGCAAGAAATCAACTCCTCATTCAATATTGAATTTGTTATACCACAAATGCACACCATACATATTAGCACATTTATTGCAGTATAGTTTAATACTAGTTTATAATAACACTGTATTTGCATATGTAAATGACAGAGGTATGTCTATAATTTAAAATAAGTCAGATTTTAATCTAAAATTCAATAAATCATATTTTTTATGTGTGCATGTGCACTTAGACCAAACTTTACAGTATATAATGTATATTAAAATACCTTGGGTGTAATTTATTGTGCTCTAGTCAAAAATATTATTTATAATGTATTTCCCATATTGATGAACTGCATATGTTGGCCATACTAAAGCAAAATTGAGAGGACTATATAACAACAAAATTAATTATGACGGTAATATGACTTCCAAGATTTTGATTTTTATATGACACCACCCTTCTCCTTAAATTGCAAATATCATTTGTAAGACATTTTGTGGGCACTGGTTCCACTCACTGACAAGTAGGTTTAACTTCTATACAAGAAATCTGAGTCGTCGGGTTTTGAATCACATGTACAATCACATAGCTTACTTTAGATATCACTGAGTACCGTATTAGCTAGCAGCTACAAAAGGACATAAACAAATACTAAATAATCTAGGCCTTAGTAACATGTATTTATCAGTGCCATGTGATTTACAATACAGATATCAATGTTAATCATTGACCTGACCTACATATGCGCACCAGCGGAAACGCCTACTTAGATATTCAAACCATTGCATATGGCTGCCGTCATGGGACTATCTATTCTTTAGTATAGTTGGCTAGCATTAAAGCAGGTCATATCATATATTACTCAACTTTTAATGTTTTTTTTTTATTATTATTATTCATAAAACCCTAAAAAAAATATGGATTTTGCCACCAGATAGCCTAAAAAATTGCGAGTCAAACATGATCTCGTCTCACCATTTTATAACATATGGTAGCAAAGACATTTTTGTAACAAGATGATAATTTTATTTGGTGACGTCAATTACTAGAAGACTTCCAAGAATACAATAATTTAATTGCTTTTTTTTTATGAAATAATACTCAAACATGGAAATAGTTTCAAAGATGCCAATTTTACCAGTTTTTCATTAAAACATTTATCTTCTAATTTGTAAAAAAACAAATATACTTGTTCATGATATTAAAATCAATAATTCAGCTTGATTTTGTCAATGTCAATGTCAGAACAGCCTTGAACTTTTATCTAGTTAGAATATAACACCACATAAAGAATGACAACGAGTTATGGTAGAAAAAATTATTTTACCATTAAAGTTATTTATCATAAATATAAAATTAAACGATCCTCTTTGTACTTTACAATAATTAACGTATTATTAAACCATATGTACATATCTATACTGTCTACAATTGAACAGCGACTAAACCATGGCATTTATCCAAAACACAATATTTATACAATCCTGGCTAGAAACCATTGTTCATTCTACATTTAATGAAAGAAAACCTAACTTTCATTCAGTCATGAGAGTATAAATTAATTCATATTACTAAAAACAAATAGGTGCCTTAATTAATTAAACTAAATTTATATGCTTTCTACAAACTCGCATATCTTAACAACAACAACAATAAACAATTTGATTTGGTAATTTCAATTGTGATTACTATCAATTATTAAATCAAATTAACATCTACTGCCTAAGACTGCGTAGTAAAACATCCATAATCCTGATAATGCATCTGAGAATATAAATTTATTTATTTAATAATTTTTGCTGCTGTAGATTTCAATTAATAACAACCAGCTTTTAGAACAACTCTTATACATAAATCTTTAGATATTACGCAATGTGAAAATAATTAAAGACTTTCCTAAACTAAACACCGAAAAGACAGAATTAAATGTTCAGAACTGTCGCCTGGCACAAAAATATTTGAAAAAAAAATTAAATTAAAAAGTAACAGGTTTAAATTTGAATATTCAACTGATCAGACTATATTAAGAGTAATGGACATCATGACACCAAACAAACACACTAAACGTGTACAAATGTGACAGCTGTGTCAATCCGGCAACTATCTGCTAAGCCAGTTGTTAATAAAACGAATCATTCAGCGCATTATTCCATAGTCATTGCATTTTATTGCACATATTAACAAAATCAGAAACTAGTCACAACTTCATTAGGTTATCATGGATAATTTCATTTAAAAAACTTATAGAGAATTTACGTAATTTATTTGTAGTATCATCACATTTTATCATGATTTATATGCAATTTTTTTTTTCACAAACAGAATTAAAGGGGCACACCTGCCTAAAACAATTATTATTCATGCCCAAATTTCTAATACGTATGTTCCCCCTAACAAAACACACCACTCCCTGTTTTACCAGTACTATGAATTCACACTGTTAACTGTAACACCTTCTCTTCCAAAGTTTAGATGTGTGTGGGAGGGGGGTTCTATCATGTGTCGAACAAACTGAGAACATGAACTTGGAACTTACCGCAAACAGACCATTTTGTACTCCAAATGGTATTGGCGTTAGCCTTGCTAATATTATTACTTTTAAACCGTTCTTTCCTTCTACGACTCTCATCAAAGCTCGTAGAGAATCGTTCTGTATTTTCGTGACGACCCATTTAGCAAAAAAATATCTGCATATCATATGAGCAGAAAATGACCCAATGAGCACGCCAATCATGGTTGTTAACATGCCCATTGGAAAGCCATAAAGGAATCCAGCTGCCACGTTAAAGATAATGTAACCCCAGGTCATAGGCAAGGAGACGAGAAAGAAAAGCAGTGTAAATACAAGTATCCCTTCTATCATACTCAGCCCCTGTAACCAGTACAGGAGCATCATTATATAGCTCTTGGTTAAGTAGATAAACCCGCATCCTGCTAGTAGCAAGGCTATGCTCACTACCATAGTTCGCAGCCATGTCCGTGTCCTATGTGGTTTCGGGAAGCCTAGCGTGTAACCGTCGTCCATGTCCGTCTCGACATTGCAATAAGGTCCCTCTCCAATAAGATAGTCATGGAATCGGACTGGGAACAAGACAAAGTCCGCTCGATGCATTGTTGTAGATCATATCGCGATAAACTGAGAGCCATACATGTATATGTTTATCTCAAATAACATAACTGTGTCTGTACAAGTCAGATATACTACACCCTTTTTTTTCAGTGATGCCAACTAGATTTGGCAATGCCAGGATTCACACACGGAACTGGAGGATTCGCTATATTACACACAATGTCTCCTACACACAGCGATGTTACGAGTTTGGCACACGTTGACTGGCGCTGTGTGAAAGACATGCAAACATCGAAAGATTAAGAATTCAACAAGTTGTAAAACAAAACTTCTAGACAGAGACATTCACGGAAAATTGTCGTTCTTAGCCCATATATCACATGTCTTGTTGAGTCATCTGAATGCGTCATAGAAAAAATATGATAACGCGATGTTATCAAACGCGGCATCAGCGCTAAGTAGGAAGAGATAGCAACACCCTTTGTGTCATAATACAAAGTCTAATATGCGGTACACGACAGCAACGGCCCATATTATATGGGAGCAGCCATTTTAAAATGTAAGGCGACTGAGAGGGCGCGCTGGCCAAGGTCTGTGTTAGCTAGCTGAACTGTGCGTCAGATCACGTGACCCGACTGGGCGTGATTTGAGCTTACGCGTAGAGGCGGGGACCAACCAAAGGTCTGTGATGACGCCCTCGATCGCCGCAAATTCTGTTGTAAAGTATGAAACCAAGGGGTGTTTATTACTGGTTCATTTATTCTTACATCCTAGAAACATCTACCCCAAAACTATTTTTGCGTGTAATCACGGGTTACTTAAATAAACTCCATGCAACGAATGTTCTGAGGACATACTAGTAAAACATTAAAGCTACAGCTAAAGCTACACTAATTGAAGACAAACTGGAGCCGACAAAATGAAAATATTGATATATGTGAGAAAAATAGGTACACACAATTTAGAGGACGTACAGCGCGTGTTCGAATTTCATGTAAACAAACGTCGCTGTGAGTTCCATATCGAACATGGCAAACCCTAAAACGCAGAATTCCGGAATCCGGAATTACATTAAAATAATATATAAATTATAAGACAATATTAATTAGTCCAATTTATAAACTGTTCATAGATTAGTTTTCAAATAATAACATTCGTATGTATCGTCGTTGCTGTCAGGAGACAACACTCTGTGTGGAGTTTACCATAACAGCCAGTCACATATTTTGGTGGAAAAATAAATTGTGGTTTTCTATCAATTCTCCAGACTATATTTCAGTCGGGCATGCATGTGTGTTATTATACCTTTTATGTTTTAAGTAAGACTTAAAGTGCATGTGAAATGTCCACCCACACATTTCTCATTTTGGACAGTTATTGATTTCTGGTTGATAATGATTACTCGTGTCCGACTGAATATGAGATATTTCTTGTGTTGTAGCCACGCTCACCTATCCTAAAACAATCGAAGTAATGAATTTATGCGTTCCCAAACGATCCGACATCAGTAGACAAAAGCCGTCAAATCAATGAGAAAAAGTTGAGATGGGCATACTCCTTATACCATTAAACCGCAGATTCTTACGCCGAATATCTGTCCTTACTCAGTATTAATAAAAGAACAGCTTGGGTTTAAAGACAAGTGCTGAAAAAATAACAGTACTAACACCTTTTAAAGAACTAGACAAGCCCATATTCACCGCGTCGGCTTTCTAAGAGAGAGAAACTTCGGGTAAGTGTTTCAAATGTTTTGAGAATCTGAATAACGTTTTGTAGAAGCCAAGTAGTTCATGTTATGTAAGAGGTTGCAAGGACGTGACGCGAAAACCGATGCGTAGGCAAAACAGAAAATTGTGCGGCACGTTGGCAATTGTCTTTAATTACGCTGTCTAAATATGTTTTAATTGTTTTGTGATTGATGTTGACTTCACACTTCTGTACACTTATCTTGCAATTTGATTTGCGTAATAAGCGGGCTGTCAATATTTTGCGACCACGTGTTTCTAATATAATGTCCGTAATTATAACAATCACAATAACTCGAATCACTTTCTGGATTTTTGCTGTGTTTCACTCTCAATAATTTTTATTATCCAATCAAACGCCGACATTCACGCACTTTTCCTCGCCGTGACCCGTAGCTTTTACCCACATTTCAACGAATTCCGGACGTTTCGGCCCGAACGTTTCGGCCAAGAATTTCGACCAAGGCGGACGTTTCGGCCCCTGGCTCTCTTCTTTAAAATAAACGATCTTCAGTATTTGAAATTAACATTACAAGTAATGTTACCGACATTAGTGAAGCCATACAAAAAATATCTCCTAATCAGATCGAGAAAACAGTGGTGGTAACATATAAGATAACAACGTTTTACCACATTTATTGTTAATGAGAGGACATAGTGATTTGCTTTCATTGTGAAATCCACACCTACGGTTATTGATGTCAGTTATTTCATAACAATAAGTGTTGGCAGTACAGGTTTGTTTAAAGATATTCGTTTTTTTCTGGAGTGAAAATAGTGATTTTACATGCGCATTTAGATATCCATTGTTGTATTTTTATATTTAGTAAATATATATATATTTAAGTGTCTAATAGTTAAACCTCTTTTTATTACTCTTTATTATTATTATTATTATTATTATTATTATTATTATTATTATTATTATTATTATTATTATTATTAATATTAATATTATTATTATT